CTCCTCCTCCTCCTCCTCTTCCTCCTCCTCTTCCTCCTCCCTAATATTACATTTGCGAGGAGAATTTTCCACAGAACTGAGCAATTTGGAGCGGATCACAGCCTGGGTCACATGAGTGGTAAATTGTAGTGTGGTGCACCAAAGGAGTTAGCTGTATAGTGCGTAGTTCGGACGTGTGTGTGTGTGTGTGTGTGTGTGTGTGTGTGTGTGTGTGTGTGTTCAGCAAGTTACCACAACACTTCAACACAGGCAAATAAACACTTTCTCTCATTAATTACACCAGACAAAGACAATTTAGGAAGAAAAGGTATAAATTAAGATTAAGATTTATTCTTCTGTGTCTTACCCTGCAGGATGGCTGAAGGGAACGCCCAACGACGCTTCCTGGAGCAGAAACTGAAGGACTATGATGTTAATGTGTGGCCTGGCGGTGCCGAGAGATATGATACACGTGAGTACCTTCCTGTGTCATGCTGGGGGCTGGTGGTCCCTCACTCATGCTGGGGCTGGTGGTCCTCCTCATGCTGGGGCTGGTGGTGCACCTCCCTCTCATGCTGGGGCTGGTGGTCCCTCCTCCCTCTCATGCTGGGGCTGGGTGGTCCCTCCCTCTCATGCTGGGGGCTGGTGGTGCACCTCCCTCTCATGCTGGGGGCTGGTGGTCCCTCCCTCTCATGCTGGGGGCTGGTGGTCCCTCCCTCTCATGCTGGGGGCTGGTGAGGTACCTCCCTCTCATGCTAGAGGCTGGTGAGGTCCCTCCCTCTCATGCTGGGGGCTGGTGCTGGTACCTCCTCTCTCTCTCATGCTGGGGCTGGTGGTCCCTCCCTCTCTCATGCTGAGGCTGGTGGTCCCTCCCTCTCATGCACAGGGGCTGGTGTACCTCCCTTTCATGCTGGGGGATGATGGTCCCTCCCTCTCATGCTCGGGGCTGGTGGTTCCTCCCTTTCATGCTGGGGGATGATGGTCTCTCCCTCTCATGCTGGAGGCTGCTAGTCCCCCCTCTCATGCTGGGGCCTGCTAGTCCTATAAGCTGTACCAACACAACAATAGGGTGTCCGCGGGCAGTTATCTCTTGTAATTCCTTGGCTAACACAGACACACACAACAGCTGGAGTAATGTGTTAGGATAGGTAAGGGTTGGTTAGGTTAGGTTGACTCTTCACCAACACTTGACTGTCCAACACCTAACTCGCCAACACTTTAATTTGTTTTACTTAGTTTTTATTTTTATTCACTAATGTCTTATTATATTATGTTTCATTAATCTGTTTATTTACAGTTTTTTTTAATATAGTTTGTTTAAAATTTATTTACAATTATTTCACCTTGAATGTTTTCCTCACCTGTCCAGTTTATTTGATTTCCTAATTTATTTATTTTTTTGTGTTGACTTATTTGTTATTTATTTTTATTGTGTGTGTGTGTGCGTGTGTGTGTGTGTGTGTGTGTGTGTATGTATGTGTGTGTATGTGTCTCTCCCAGGGCACGGCCTCGCCAACTTCACTGTGCCTCACCTCCCGGACCTCCTCAGCACCTCCTCCTACCTGCCCTACCCCCCCGACCGTGAGTATTGTCTCTCATTAATCACCTGTCATGCACCTACACCACCTGTCATGCCCTACCTCCACCACCTGTCATGCACCTACACCGCCTGTCATGCACCTACACCAACTGTCATGCACCACCTCCTCCACCACCTGTCATGCACCTCCTTCACCACCTGTCATGCACCTCCTCCACCACCTGTCACGCACCTCCTCCTCCTCCTACCTGTCATGCATCCCTCCTCCCACCACCTGTCCTTACATCCCTCTCCACACCACCTGTCATACCTCCTCCACCACCTGTCCACACCTCCTCCTCCACCACCTGTCGCCATCCCTCCTTCACCACCCTGTCAGCCCATCCCTCCACCACCTGTCCATGCACCTCCTCCACCACCTGTCACACCTCCTCCTCCACCACCCTGTCATGCATCCCTCCTCCACCACCTATCGCCATCCCTCCTCCACCACCTGTCACACCTCCTCCTACACCAACTGTCATGCACCACCTCCTCCACCACCTGTCATGCACCTCCTTCACCACCTGTCATGCACCTCCTCCACCACCTGTCACGCACCTCCTCCTCCACCACCTGTCATGCATCCCTCCTCCACCACCTGTCACGCACCTCCTCCTCCACCACCTGTCATGCATCCCTCCACCACCTACTTTGCCCCATGTGTCCAGCTGGCACCACCTGGCCACGCCCTATTTGTACTACACCAGCTGAGACAAAACTCGACCGTTCTTATCAGTTGGTGGTGGTAGTAACGCTCTTTATTGATTTATTTTTACTTTACGAAATTTTATCCTTAAGAACTTATTCTGAGCTAAAGACATACCCTCAGCTAAAAGGGCATACTCTCAGCTAAAAGGACATACTCTCAGCTAAAAGGACATACCCTCAGCTAAAAGGACATACTCTCAGCTAAAAGGACATACTCTCAGCTAAAAGGACATACTCTCAGCTAAAAGGACATACTCTCAGCTAAAAGGACATACTCTCAGCTAAAAGGACATACTCTCAGCTAAAAGGACATACTCTCAGCTAAAAGGACATACTCTCAGCTAAAAGGACATACTCTCAGCTAAAAGGACATACCCTCAGCTAAAAGGACATACCCTCAGCTAAAAGGACATACCCTCAGCTAAAAGGACATACCCTCAGCTAAAAGGACATACTCTCAGCTAAAAGGACATACTCTCAGCTAAAAGGACATACCCTCAGCTAAAAGGACATACTCTCAGCTAAAAGGACATACTCTCAGCTTAAAAGAAAAACATGTCCCCTGTTAACTCGTTGTCGTTGTTGTTATTGTTGTTGTTGTTTTTGGTGACATTTATGCCTGTTGGATGTGACAGCCAACAGGGTGCATTACTTTCTGACAGTAAAATCTTTCTGTCAACAAGAGAAACTGTCAGTGGATCTTGTCAGTACGCTTCTTCCATGACACTTGTTACTGTCGCTACACCTACCCCACCCCCTCCCTCAGAGCGACCATCAGCCCTGGCCAGATGTTTCCTCGACGCGCCCCCGACAGCTCGCCCTCACGCCTTGGGGTTTTGTGAGTCATGGAGGTTGCTGGTCGCGCTCCAACAAGAGGAAAGGTAAAAGATGAGAAATATATAACCTGAAGCAGAGGTGTGGAGGAAGGGAGGATAAATATACACACACACACACACACAAGCTGGGGGTTGAGGACGTAGAGATGACTTCCCTGTAGGTGACGTGTCCCTGATAGATGGTGACAGCGTCTTGGCCTCACAGTATACGTGGGTTGTTCGTACATTAAACAGGGTCATTGCACCTTTCTTTCTTCAGGTTGTGGCTCTGTAGTTTCTCCCCTATCCACCTCTTGTGTTGGTTTCACGCCCCTCTACAGCTTCACGCCTCCCCACAGCTTCACGCCCCTCCACAGCTTCACGCCCCTCCACAGCTTCACGCCCCTCCACAGCTTCACGCCCCTCCACAGCTTCACGCCCCTCGACAGCCACAGTCAACACCTGGGGATGAGTTGGTCCTTTGATACACTATCCTGAAGGACTCGTCTGATGTGTGTTTGTTTATGTCACAGAATCGATTGTTGAAGATGGTCAGAGTATTTTAAACGACCACAGTGTCTTTGGTCTCCTCAAGGGTCACCACAGTAATAATATAAACCCTTACGGCATCTTTTTTTTCTTTTATTAATTTGTATAAACTATGAAATGTTTAACATACAGTATAGAGAGAACTTAGTTAATTAACCTGTCGAATTCAAAGGTCAAAGGTCAAATGTTTCTCCAGCCACTTTTACTGTACTGTTAGCCACCTACAGTAGTATTTAATCCCCGTACGTGTTATTTTTTCCTTGATATTTACCTCAATACGAAGAATTACTCCGACACACACACACACACACACACACACACATACACACACACACACACACACACACACATATATCCCGGGTGTGGTACCATCAGTGACTGTCAGTTTATTTACGCTGCCAATCGTCCATCACGGCTCACACTCACTGTATGTGCCGGCGAGTAGTTCACGGGGGCATTAAAGACCACGCCCGCAGAATGTCTCCCCCCACGTAAATCCTGTAGGAGGGGGTCCTTACCTCTGCTGACGCCACCACCATCATCTTACAGTTCAGGTCACATTGTGGTCACCTGAAGATTAGGCACCCTAGCTTATTTCTTCTGATGATTAAATACATTAACGCTAACCTTACCTAACCTAACCTAACCTTACCTAACCTAACCTAACCTAACCTAACCTAACCTTACCTAACCTAACCTAACCTAACCTAACCTAACCTATGTCCGTTCATTCCTTCTTGTGTCCGTTAGTCCGTCCTTATGTATCTTAGAGTACTTTCCTTTTATTTATTTATTTATATTATCATTTACGTCTCTATATCTCTCCCTAAGAAACCGTGATCTGATTTCCGAGTTATCAAGACACCTGATTTCCGAGTTATCAAGACACCTGATTTCCGAGTTATCAAGACACCTGATTTCCGAGTTATCAAGACACCTGATTGCCGAGTTATCAAGACACCTGATTGCCGAGTTATCAAAGCACCTGTTTATAATGATAGGAGGGGGTGGGGGGTGGGGGGGTGCATTTAAAGGGTGTTTGTGCTCTCAGGTGAAAACGCTTACTGATTTAATGAGTAAAACGTAAACAAACAAAAAATAGGGACTTGTAATTTCGTTTTCTTATGGCGACACAACACAGCAGGTCCCAACTATCAGTGACAGAGGGTGTGTGGGTGTGTGGATGTGTGGGTTTGTGTGTTGGTGTGGGTGTGTGTCCCTCCTCCTCCTCCTCCTCCTCCTTCTTCCCCTCCTCCCCCTCCTTCCCCCTTCCTCCTCCTAGTAGATGTTATCAGAGGCGTCGTCCAGATTGGTAAAGTGTTGTTGTTTCGAGAACAATGAACACTCCAACACTTAAACACGTGACTCCTCGTCTCTGGCCACTTGTCGTTCATGTTACTGTGTTGTAATATTTTCCTTCCTTCAGTAGATAAATGTGCCGTTAAATGTTTTATTGCCGCCACCCTCTCTGACGGCTGGTGTGTGTGTGTGTGTGTGTGTGTGTGTGTGTGTGTGTGTGTGTGTGTGTGTGTGTGTGTGTGTGTGTGTGTGTGTGTGTGTGTGTGTGTGTGTGTGTGTGTGTGTGTGTGTGTGTCTAACTATCTATCTATCTATCTATATCTATTTATCTATGTGTATGTAAGCTGCCTCCCTCCATACACACGTCCCCAACAATAACAGAAGAATGTGATATATTAAGCCAAGGAAAATAGCTCACACACACAGCCCCGTAATAACTGAGGCTGACGGTACCCTATATTAGACCCGGCCTGTGTGGGTGGGGGAGGGTGTGTGTGGGTGGATGGGTGGGTTGTGTGGGGGCGGGAGGATAGTTGATTGGAAGTGAGGCAGATGTGTGGAAAGACAGATAGACAGACAGATGCAATTGTATTATGTGGCTAACTTACTCCTAACCTAACCAAACCCTCCTCTCAAAGACATTATTAATAGTTCAGTTTTTAAAGATCTTGTTACCGGACTTAGTGACCTAACCATATTGCTCGCCCAGTTAAGAGTGACGAAAATATAACAGCCTCGTAACGATAACTATCTGCCAGAGTGTAGATCATTACTCATAATGATCTATACTTGGACCAGTCGTAACTCCGGAAGCCGGCATGTTGTCATTGGCTGTCGTTGTCGCCACTGTTTTTAGAGGTACTGTATGTGGACGGGGACGACAGCACGTCACCCACTACTAATAGACCGAGAGCATCTAGACAAAGACAGACAGACAGACATGAAGGAAGTGGCAGAGCGGCAGAGTCTTGGTCACGTATAGATAACAGTGGCCGTGTCTGGGAGCCGCTCTGTTCATGTCAGCTAATATGGGGCCAACACCACGATGGGGAGCTCATCGTCACACAAGGTGGAGAGAGAGGAACCTGTGTTGACAGATCCACGCCGGCGAGATTTTCCTCTTTGGTGCGTCGCCGCTGACCTGGGCTATTGTTCCGTGAGAGCTTTTTGAACTAGCTGACATAAATGACAGAAGAATAACACTGAGGCTCTTAGTTAATCGTTCTATAGCACTCGTTAGGGCACATAATTCAGTGACAGATTCTTAATGTAACCGAACCCTGAATTTTGGAGGTCCGGTCACTGTTGTTACTTCCGGATAAGACCACAAGTTCAGTCAGGTCTTGTTGACGGCGGTAGAGATAACGTGTAGGAAGTAGCTTGTTTTATCTCTCTCCCTCTACCCCCTTCCCCTCTACCTGCTTCCCCCCTACCCTCCTCCCCACCTTCCCTCCTCCCCCTTCCCCTCCTCCCCCTTCCCTCTCCCCTTCCTCACCCCCTTCCTCCTCCCCCCTTCCCTCACCCCCCTTCCCCTCCCCCCCTTCCCTCCCTCACTATTTTTTTTAATCTAATTGAAACTTCGCGACAATTCTCCATCCCTACACGCTTCTGGGCGGTGGACCAACGGACGAATTTATTACCTACCTGAAGACCTAACCTGAAGGAGTTAAAGAGACCATATCCCCTCACGGTCGAGCCTCAGGAGTAATTTAGGGCCCCATTTATTAGCCTTGTGTTTTAACGTCTTTTCTGGTTTGCTGTTACTGAGGATTTTTTTTTACGTATTTTTCTCTGTTCTGTTAAGCCTTTATTTTTTGAGAGAGAGAATTTGGAACCCAGAGTCGTAAAGTATGGTAGTTTGAGTCGTAAAGTATGGTAGTTTGGGTCGTAAAGTATGGTAGTTTGGGTCGTAAAGTATGGTAGTTTGGGTCGTAAAGTATGGTAGTTTGGGTCGTAAAGTATGGTAGTTTGAGTCGTAAAGTATGGTAGTTTGGGTCGTAAAGTATGGTAGTTTGGGTCGTAAAGTATGGTAGTTTGGGTCGTAAAGTATGGTAGTTTGGGTCGTAAAGTATGGTAGTTTGAGTCGTAAAGTATGGTAGTTTGGGTCGTAAAGTATGGTAGTTTGGGTCGTAAAGTATGGTAGTTTGGGTCGTAAAGTATGGTAGTTTGGGTCGTAAAGTATGGTAGTTTGGGTCGTAAAGTATGGTAGTTTGGGTCGTATATAGTTTAGTGAAATAGGAGAGCGTCTGGGTACAGGTATGTGGGAAATGTGTTCGTATTAAAGGATAAGGTCGAGGGATTCGTTTTACTGTCGTGGAGAGAGACAGACAGATAGATAGATAGATAGATAGATAGATAGATAGACAGACAGACAGATAGATAGATAAATAGATAGATAGGAGAAAAGAGAAAGAGTTTTATACTTAAGTGGGGTAAAAGTATAGCAGTTAATGTATATCATCTCTCTCTCTCTCTCTCTCTCTCTCTCTCTCTCTCTCTCTCTCTCTCTCTCTCTCTCTCTCTCTCTCTCTCTCTCTCTCTCTCTCTCTCCCCCCTAAATGACACGGGAAAGTAAGCTGGAGTGATCGTTAGTGTCAGTAGTTTTCTTTAAGTGTTGTAAACAGGGCGTTGTAAATGAAAGCAAATGTTGGTACACTTTAACAGCTGTAAACGGTGAGTATTTTTTACTGTAAATAGGAACTAGAAAGTGTAAACATACCCATGCTGAGTGTTGTAAAGGTGAACTATGACACAAGTGTAAACGAAGGTTAACATTGCGATACAAATGTGAATAACTGTAAACATGACTTCGATTGGGATACTCTCTCTCTCTCTCTCTCACTCAGAGGTGCATAAATGCCTCACTTGTACCGCTATTTGATGCTTATTCCCCAGGAAATTTAACTATTGTTAGTTTATTCAGATGTAATGACCTTGTGTAGTCCACCATCACCTTGCTGTGTCGCTGTGATTAGTGAGGTTGTTTATTATTTACAGGAAGTAAGACCGACAGTCCTTGAGTCCATCCTCACTGGTCTGGGTCTTGTGGCTTATTATGTTCTGTACAGTAAGGCCTGCAGGGGGTGTCAGTGTTACCAGAATAGTAAAACACTGCCAGGGGGTCTCAGAGTGTTGCCAGAATAGTAAAACACTGCCAGGGGGTGTCAGAGTGTTGCCAGAATAGTAAAACACTGCCAGGGGGTGTCAGAGTGTTGCCAGAATAGTAAAACACTGCCAGGGGGTGTCAGAGTGTTGCCAGAATAGTAAAACACTGCCAGGGGGTCTCAGATATGGTGTGAGGATTGTCCTAGCCCAGTATACAGTACATGTCGTTTGTTTGATGTTTCAGGTGGCAGGACAAAGCGGTCTCCTCTCCCTAAAGGAGTACGACCGAGTCTGGAGGCGCTGGGTAAGGCACGGTAGCCCCCACCTCCACCTCCCCCTCGTGCCTGTCTGTCGCTTTAGTAGCTCAGCCCCCCCTTGGTCGTGTACTGTACTGACCTCATGTGTCGTCCGCTGTAGTGGTCGTCTCACTCGCCTCACTCGTCTATTTTGTTCGTCTAATATAACAACTTTTTTTTCTTGTACTAAAGTAACTAAACTACTTATATTTTGGATCAATGATGATTAACCCTCCTAGTTTATTTCACCTGATGATTTAACAGCCTAACTTTTTAACTGGAGGAGGGATTAGGTTAGGTTAGGTTAGGTTAGGTTAGGTTACTTAATCATCAGGTGAAATAAGTTAGGGTGCCTAATCTTCAGTTGATTCCACATTTGTGTAAAGGAAGTTTAGTCAACTGTATTGTATAACCTGACACTAAACATGACCCAGAAATGATGTTTAGGTATGGGTAACGTCACCTCTGTTATTATTCACAGACGAAGTAAAAAACAGGATAATATTGAAATAATTGTTTTCTACACTCACTCTCAGAAGGTAAACACGTATACACAAAGGCTAAATAAAGTTGTCTTGTATTTAAAAGATTAGACGAGTTATTTACCCTTTTACGTCCGTCTAAGACTACAGTGATACACATGGAAAGCTTTTAACTGGTGACTCTGACTAAATTTGCCTTTACAGTGGTATAGTGTGTTGACTGTGCGCTCGCCTGCATTGGATTTTTGCAAACTAATATATTCCTTTTTTAGCACACACACACACACACACACACACACACACACACACACACACATACACACACACACACACACACACACATTTAATATCTTACAGCAGTTTCTTTGGTGCGGCAGCTTTGTGTGTGTGTGTGTGTGTGTGTGTGTGTGTGTGATTTTTGGCGTAACAGAGCTTTGCGTGTTGAGATGTGTCCTCACGTATTGCCAAGTACTTAGATGGCCGGAGAGACACGTCCAGTTAAAACATATTCAAATGAAATCTCTCTCTGATAACTAGGTTGAGGTGAAGTGCTGGGGTGATGGCTTTAGATAACTCAGTCCAGGCAAGGTCCATGGTATTGTTTTCACCTCAGTACAGTGGTTTGGTGAAGATCTTCCCAATTTTCAGTGATTCCTGTGGTCCTTGAAGGTGATTAAGACGTTTGAGAACAGGAGTTTTACCATTTTTTAGTGCTTTAATGGACGCTCTTCATCTAGAGAGTCTTTAAATCCACATCACCTACAGGTTCTTGAAATACTGGTGTGGCTCTTCCCTATAAGGCGATGATCTGTCCTTGGGATCCCGGAGTATGATGTCATATTTCCAGAGGTCGGCCTATATCAATTTACCCTTTTTTATCATCATTTTATTAATAGGAAAACCTCTTAAATGAATCTAGGGACACATTGTTCTCCTCTCGTCCTGAGCCACGAACCCCGAGATTCAGCCTCGTGAACCCGAAGCAGTAGACTGATACATTATTCTGTTCATAAATACTTCGGATTTACTTGTCTGAATCTCGGGGTTCGTGGTTCAGGACGAGAGAGAGACATAACTGCCCTCAACAGACACAGACATCACACGCACAACAGACACCAACAGACGCCTCACGCACAACAGACACCAACAGACGCCTCACGCACAACAGACACCAACAGACGCCTCACGCACAACAGACACCAACAGACGCCTCACGCACAACAGACACCAACAGACGCCTCACGCACAACAGGCAACAACAACAGTGTGACGAAACAGCCTTGTGCAATAGAGCATAACATCAAACAGTGTCTCTGAGCTGCTGTTGTCCTCCTCTTCAACAACAAAACCTTTACCCGGAGACTAAATAATATATACCGCGTTAAATTAAACTATGTGTACAGCAAAGACCAAAATATACTGTACGTTCGTTTAACCACAAAATTTACCTTACACAAAATATGATTACCTGTTTTTAAAATGTAATTACCTGATTTTTTTTTTAAATATTTTACCTGATTTTAAAATACAAATGTTATCCTAAATTTTGTCTTAAGATTCGGGAGTAAATATTGAGTGGTATGTTAATTTATATTCAAAGAAATTAATTAGATAAATGATAATACTGCTCTCTCTCTCTCTCTCTCTCTCTCTCTCTCTCTCTCTCTCTCTCTCTCTCTCTCTCTCTCTCTCTCTCTCTCTCTCCTTGGGAAGTGTGTAGAGTTCTGGAGGTAAAGTTTCAAGACAGTTTGTTAAATCACCTCATTCATAAAAGTTCATGGTCGGTGTTATAGACTTCTCGCTAGATGCTCCTCCCTTTGTCCCCGCCCGGAGCGTCAGACAGGTCCTGGGTGGTGGTGGTGGTGGGTGGTGGTGGTGGTGGTGGTGGTGGTGGTGGTGGGTAATAGTGCTGGGTAATGGTGCTGGGTGGTGGTGGTTGGTGGTGATAGTGGGACTGGTGGTGGTGGTGCTGGTGTGTCTGTCTGTCTCTCTGTCCTCCCCCAAAATAACTCCAGAATATATAGTAGATTTCCACCAAAACTTGTTACATGTGATCGACAGGTGACCAAAAAGTCTACACGATACATTTTTAACAGAGTAAATCACGCCCAAAATTGACCAAATATTGCCACGGTAACGGCCACGGTTCACTCACTGCTAAGACAAGGTTTCTCGGGGCGTTAACCTAACCCAACCTAAGAACATCACTAGTAGTTGGGTTATTTGCTCTGTCATGGTAATTGTTCGCTGGCAAGGTTGATTTTTTTATTAATTGAAATAAAATATGATGAGTTTTGGGGGGACGAGATATTTAAAAAATCGACAATATCTTCGAGGGTTTTTTTTAGGGGGGGGACGAGACTTTGGGAAAATCGACAATCTCCATATTTATAGCATCTGCGTCGGGGAGTGATGCCTGCCATGGGCGTCATCCTCTCTGAGACTCCTCCTCCAGGTGGTGGGGGAGTTAGTGTACACCTGAGATGATGTACACAATCTTACTTCCTACAGCCAGACTCGTACATGGGTGAAGAATGTACTCTCTCTCTCTCTCTCTCTCTCTCTCTCTCTCTCTCTCTCTCTCTCTCTCTCTCTCTCTCATCATAAACTACACACTGTCTTGTAAGTGTCAAGAAAGAAAGACAGATAACCCTGGTATAAGAAGTTAAGGTTATCAGCACAAGTATAGTGGTGTTGTATCTCTCAGGTCACTACAGTAAGATGAGTCACCACCACCCTCAGGAGCCCCAACAACAAGGTCACCACCACCCTCAGGAGCCCCAGCAACAAGGTCACCACCACCCTCAGGAGCCCGTGTGTCGTAGAGTGAAACAGTGTTTTATTCCCCTGTGTTCTTTGTCACCAGCGTGTGAAGTGAAGCTGCCGCCGCGTTACTGGGGAAAATCTTTTGTTGGTTAAAATGCAGTTATCATCATGACTCAGCGTGTGTGTGTGTGTGTGTGTGTGTGTGTGTGTGTGTGTAGGTCTCACTCCACCCTTCGAGGACTACATTTTAATTTGCAGTTCCTCAAAAAACAATAATTTACTTAAACTCTAATCCTCAAGGGGTTAAACCACCGTCCTTGCAGGTTTATAGTTTAAACCACCAACCACTGGGCGGTTAAATAACACCGTCGGAGCTACAGTAAACCTCCCACTCTGAAAGGTTATACTTGGACTCAGGGAACAACGTCGAGGAGGAGGAGGAGACTGGAAGATTCACTCCTCACCTGTGTTACGTGACGCCAGGTAACAGTGGGTGTTACTCTGGGTTGACAAGGATGATCACGTGAAGATTACCCCCCCCTCCCCCCTGGGTTAGATTAGGTAAGGGTGTTTAATTATCAGGTGAAAAAAGCTTAGGGTGTCTATTCTTCAGGTGATCCCGTAAATGTTTCAGGTACGAGGTGATTAAGTCTAGGTGTAGTGACGGTGGCTGTGTAAGACGTCAACAAGAGAGAGACAAAGTAAACAGAAATTATGTCTTATTGAACATCAAGTGTACGACCACCTGCAGGAGAGACAGACAGACAGACTATGCGAATCTCCTTACAGCCTGGCAGGGAAGCACACACACACACACACACACACACACACACACACACACACACACACACACACACACACACACACACACACACACACACACACACACACACACACACACACACACACACACACACACACACACACACACCTCTCCATTACTCATTAATAGCGTGTTTATCCGTGTATGTTTGTGCTATTGTATGTATCTGTGTGTGTACGTGTATACATTAATCACACTACCTATCTCTTTCTACAACACAACAAGCTACATCTCCCCCAAGCGCCTCAGACCACTACACTCTTGGAACACAACAAGAGACTCCAAGTAGTTTTTGTTTCCTTCACACTTGACGGTCGAGAGAATTCATTGCCTCATTCTACTGTGACTTAAGTTTGCTGACGCCCTTGGAGTACACGAGGCCTTGAGGGGGACACTAGATCAAGGAGGAGGAGGGGGAGGTGTTTAGGGTGGACGGTGCATGGAGGGGCATTGAACTTAACTTTTGTCCTTGGTGTGTGTGTGTGTGTGTGTGTGTGTGTGTGTGTGTGTGTGTGTGTGTGTGTGTTTCTACGCTCGATTGGCTACTCTTAGGCTAAGTCAGGTGTGTGAGTTTTTAAAAGCCAGTTGAGATCACAGGTAATGAGAGTCAGGTGTTGTCTTCAGGTGTACAGTTTTAGATACGACAAAAATCCTACGCCCATCGATCCCCCTCTCCTCCTCTCCTCCTCTTTTCCTCCTTCTCTCCCCACTTCCTTCTTTCCTTTATCCCTTCTTTACCCCCTCTCTCCCTCTCCCCCCTTTTCCCCCTTCTCCTTCTTCTAGTGCAGTGCTAACGAAAAATAAGTAGTTTTAAGTCTGCTGTGTACTATATCCGCACTGCCCTTAATAAACGACTGTCGGGCATTTGGAGGTAACGCTAGGTTAGGTTAGGTTAGCGTGAGGGTGGGTTAGGTCAGGTCAGGTTAGCGTGAGGGTG